CTACTTTGTCTCACTGCCGGCGGAAGTAAAACAGTGTGACCTCTAGCGGAAGTAAAATGCTCCAGCGCATTGTGTGTTGAATTAGCAGAAAGTCGATTGTACTGTTGTATTTAAACTCAGTATTTCAGCAACCATGTCTTCAGTTCAGCATCTCAGAGAGTTTATCAGAGAGCGACTATCTGCTGCTGCTCAAGAAATCTTCACAGAGGTTGAAAAAACCATCATTTGCTACGAGGAAGAGCTCGATGCTCAGCGCAGGATGATGGGGATCGACTGGAAACCAGAAATAAAGCTACACGTAGTCGGTTCGGAGCTGCAGAGACAAAGTTCTGGTAGGTCTGGATAAAGGTGCTGATGTTTTCACTGCAGACAGAGATCCGTCAGCGGCGATAGTTGCTGCAGCTCCAGCTGCTGCTGAACAGGAACTGTTTTAGCTGCTAGCTCTGATGCTACAGAGGCTAGCACAAACGTGGTAGCACAAAGAGAAAACCTGTTTGAGTCAAGCCGCCTGACTACATATACAGGTCCTTCTCAAAAAATTATCATAATGTGGTAAAGTTCATTATTTTCCATAATGTCATGATAAAAGTTAAATTGTCATATATTTTAGATTCATTGCACACCAACTGAAATATTTCAGGTCTTTTATTGTTTTAATTTTGATGATTTTGGCAAACAGCTCATGAAAACCCAAAATCCCTGTCTCAAAAAATTAGCACATCATGAAAAGGTTCTCTGAACGAGCAATTAACCGAATTAATCATCTGAATCGACAAAGTAATTCTAAACTCCTGCAAAAGATTCCTGAGGCTTTTAAAAACTCCCAGCCTGGTTCATTACTCAAAACCGCAATCATGGGTAAGACTGCTGACCTGACTGCTGTCCAGAAGGCCATCATTGACACCCTCAAACAAGAGGGTGAGACACAGAAAGAAATTTCTGAACGAATAGGCTGTTCCTAGAGTGCTGTATCAAGGCACGTCAGTGGGAAGTCTGTGGGAAGGAGAAAGTGTGACAGAAAACGCTGCACAACGAGAAGAGGTGACCGGACCCTGAGGAAGATTGTGGAGAAGGGCCGATTCCAGACCTTGGGGGAAGCAGTGGACTGAGTCTGGAGTAGAAACATCCAGAGCCACTGTGCACAGGCGTGTGCAGGAAATGGGCTACAGGTGCCACTTTCCCCAGGTCAAGCCACTTTTGAACCAGAAACAGCAGCAGAAGTGCCTGACCTGAACTACAGAGAAGCAGCACTGGACTGTTGCTCAGTGGTCCAAATACTTTTTTTGGATGAAAGAACATTTTGCATGTCATTCGGAAATCAAGGTGCCAGAGTCTGGAGGAAGACTGGGGAGAAGGAAATGCCAGAAGTCCAGTGTCAAGTACCCACAGTCGGTGATGGTCTGCGGAGCCATGTCAGCTGCTGGTGTTGGTCCACTGTGTTTTATCAAGGGCAGGATCGATGCAGCAGCTATCAGAGGATTTTGGAGCACTTCATGCTTCCATCTGCTGAAAAACTTTATGGAGATGAAGATTTCATTTTTCAGCACAACCTGGCACCTGCTCACAGTGCCAAAACCACTGGTATTACTGACCATGGTGTTACTGTGCTCAATTGGCCTGCCAACTCTCCTGACCTGAACCCCATAGAGAATCTGTGGGATATTGTGAAGAGAAAGTTGAGAGACGCAAGACCCAAAACTCTGGATGAGCTTAAAGCCGCTATCGAAGCATCCTGGGCTCCATAACACCTCAGCAGTGCCACAGGCTGATTGCCTCCATGCCACACCGCATTGAAGGCTGCAAAAGGATTCCTGACCAAGTATTGAATGCATAACTTAACATAATTATTTGAAGGTTAACTTTTTTGGTATTAAAACACATTTCTTTTATTGGTCGGATGAAATATGCTAATTTTTTGAGACAGGGATTTTGGGTTTTCATGACCTGTATGCCAAAATCATCAGTATTAAAACAATAAAAGACCTGAAATATTTCAGTTGGTGTGCAATGAATCTAAAATATATGACAGTTTAATTTTTATCATTACATTATGGGAAATAATGAACTTTATCTCAATATGCTAATCTTTTGAGAAGGATCTGTATTACTCTAATTGTTATGGTGGAAATCTGGAATACAAGATGTAAATTCGTAAACTCACACATGATTTTGTAAATCAGAGCAGTGGAGAGTATTGTGAAGGAGAGGGGGAGATGCAGAATGAGCTTTGTTTTTTTTCATGGGGGCTCAGAACAAATGGAAGAAATAAGTAACAACAATATATCTTTGTTTCTTATATTAAGTGAGCCAGTAATACGTATGGCGCTGTAGGTTCAACAGCCCTGATAGAGCACATAAAAACTGTAATCCTATCAATTCATTCGAAGCTAAAAGTTTAAAATCTGCATTTTAATTAATTGCTAAAGTTAAAAAAAATAAAATTGGTCTGAGGGATCAATTAGATATAGTAAAAAATATGTATTTATATTGTTAGCTCTTTAGTTGAGGTACCCAGACCAGTTCTACAGGGAAATGGGCAAATTGTGTCAAGTTAGAAACATGCAAATGATTTTCTCCAAATCTATATTTCTTAAATGTGTTTAATGAAATATCTCTCTGTTGCTGCACATTTGCTGTGTAGTTAAATGGATCAGATGATTCCAACAGTGATTACAGGAAATTATTTATTTGTGTTATCGCTAGCAGACATCCAGTTTTCATGAATGTAGCGTCTGATGGTTGCTATGGAGACATGATGGCTCCAGGATGTTCCTCTTAGCTGTAGTTCTCCTAAAGAGATGTTGACCTGCTCCACCATCCTCCTCAGTGTGTGATGTTGAGATAAACTCATCCAGCCTCGTCTCTCACAATTCTAGTTACTATGCTAAATGTAGAGTCAGAGCGATAACGAATAGGTTTCAATTTTAGGCCAGTCTTCTTATAGTGGCTTAGAGAAATGAATCTCTGTCTCAACATATTTATAACTCTGAAAACCAGAATATCAAATTTACTAAATTAAATTCCTACACAGTCTGATCAACTTTAAAAAGTGAGGCTAAACATAAGGTTATAAGTGTATTGTCTTAATGTATTTTTAGTTCTTCACTGTATGAATGGCTTTAAAGAATTAAACATTTAATTGTTAATAAAACATCAGTATGAAACCGTACCTCTAGATTAAAGTCTGAATGTACTTGAACTCCTTTTAACATTTTTGCCATGGCAACAATTTAATGCGGAGGGCACTTTACCTGCTTTTCAGTTAAAATCTAGAAACTAATTTTAGATTAACCATATGATGCCTATGGACCTTACCACAGGGGCCGCGTTTCATTGGCTAATGCCCATTTCACGTCACAGCGCAGCTACCACGTGCGTGACCATCTCACAAACACAAGCTACAGTAGT